AAAGATAACTATGAACTAAAACTTAGCTAATAATGAGCTAACCCTTAGTTCAATAAGTGAACTAAAGACCAGCTCATAAATGAGCTAAATTTCAGCTCAAATTTGATTGAGCTTGTAAACTCGAGGGAAGCCAAAAATGAAATTATTTTGGGCTTGAGTTGACCCCCCCCCCTTTGTCTACATCACAGGCGCGGGCATGACGCGAGTCCAAGTGCATCGCAACTAGGTCGCGAGACAGCGAGACCAGCGGGTCAACGAGATTGAGCTGTAGTGTATCGATTATCCGGGTCATTTCGGGTTGAGCTCAGATTTCCGAGTCAATCCGAACTGGTTTTTTAAACGGGTCGAAATCTCATTTATGGGTCAACCAGTTTCGGATCCGGGTTGACCCAAACCCGAAATTTTCAGGTCGGGTTCGAGTCGAGTTAAATATTGACACCCCTATGGTTATACCCTTATCGATACATTTTAAAAAAAGGTTTTTCCCTCTGGTTTTATGCAATCCAATGTTTAAGTACCAACATGTTCCTTCGGCCCCACAAATCATAGAACATTTTCAACTCAACTACATGTGCCAGAATTTTATGATTTTTCCCTCGGTAATGATGTTTCTTGTGGCACTATGCCACTTATTTCTGATGATGAACTAGATATTGAGAGAGTATACGAGTTACCAATGATCCAAAACCTAAGTTTACTATTATGCCAAAGTGTCTAAGCTTTAGCCTAAAAATATTATGAGTATTAAATAATGTTTCATGCGGATTATATTGATTAGCATTCAGATATGTTTAGATATACCAAAGCCTACAGTAGATCTTCTCCAACTTCCTCAAATATATTTAGATGTACCAAAACCTACATTGAATCTTCTCCAACTTTCTGGATTTTTACTCTTCCGTACTATCCATAACCTCAAAAAACATAACACTACTTTAGGTGATTGGGGTTTGCTTCCATCAATCCTATAAGATATTGAATTTGTGATTCCAACACCACCATCTCCTAGTTTATTGTCAGTCCATGTTATATAGATCTTACAAATATATTAAGTTTTCAGCACCGGGCAATCAAATCTACGTTTTTTGGACTACCTCCTATGATTGTTTCATGTATTGCATGGTCACTTCTTCCATTAGATGATCCAATGGTGTCACCTCCTCTACCTTGTTTATTTCCTGCAAAATCTTAAGGTATGAGTTTTTTACATGCCACATGAATTGATGCTTTGCAATAAATATTGGTTGATTTATTTATCATGGGTAAAGAAGAAGTCAAAATATACTAAAAAAGCGCTAATCAAAATAGTTTTCAAGCCTTTGTTTAGACACATCTTTATATTGCCCGAATTATATAACTTTAATTTTCAATTTTGTTTTGTAATTTGTAATAAAAATAAGGATAATAAGGATAAGGATAATCTAATCCTCATGTTAGGATCTATTTTAATTTATAAGAAGTGCTACTTATAAAGAATTTTGATTATTACTAACCGATTAATGAATAAATTATTAATAAAACCCATTTATGATTGTTCTTCTCTTTTGATATGTCGTAATGGTTGCTCAAAATTCTACACACAAAACTCCGTCAATCTTACTCTCTTATTTCTAATCAATTCACAAACTCTTTTCAGAATGATTTTACTCCATGATTTTGGTATTAAAACATCATTCATACCACTACCTCATCCCAACTCCAAAGGACATAGCCAACATGCATTTTCTTTTTCAATGTAACTTACTTGTTCTAAACAATGCTTCACTCCTCCATCCCTCTCAGGCTTCTCCTCCACCTTCTCTCCCATCCATAGCCAGCAATGAAACCATAAAACCACCAACTTTGCTCATACAACACCAATGACGGCTTACATTGAATCCTCTCCATCTAAGCACTCGATAGTACATACATAGCATCTATCCCCACTTAATCACTTTATTAGTCATGCTTGACTAAAGCCTCACAACAATCCCTGAACATTTCTCTTTTGTTCTCGCAAACTTTCACATATTCCCCCTTTCTCTCCCCTCCTACTCCACCTTCCCCAACCCATAGCCAGCTATGACACTATGAAACCACCAATTCTCCTCCACCATTAGTGATGGCTTTTCTTGCATCCTTTACAAGATAACCCTCAATATATATCTCCCTCAATCGCTTCATCAATTCCAATCGCCCTGTACCAAAGCCCCAAACTCACCCACAATAACACACCCCAATTGTTAATGACACTATAATAGCATCACCCTTACCTCCACCAATAAAGACAGGCTTAACACCTTAACTCCTATGAGAACTCCACTCCACAGAGAATACCTCAATGAATGTTTCACATCCATTCCCATCTTTATCACTTCACCCGCCCAAAACCTGAAACCAAATCATCACCCCACCTCGAGCAGGTGATGGAACTATTACCCCACAACTCCTAATAAGCCATGGGGTATGACTAGTTAGTTCATCTCTCTCTCTCTATCCTGCCTTTTGCAATTCAAAACAATGAGTTAAATTTTAAGTTTAAGTCAACCCTAACCTGACTCTGATGAGGACATCAGATTTCGACAGGTGTACCATCGCCGGAGACGCAGATCGACGGCTACGATCCAGAACCTCTATTTCTGATTTATTTGCATTTTATTTATGCTTGTATTTCTTGTTTCCTAGTTTGTGGCATTTATGTCATTTCAGTTTTTATTTTATTTTGGCCTACTTATATTAGGCCTCATGCAATGTAAGTTTTGGTGGATGAATGAAAAAAAAAGAAGTTATCTTGTTGTTCTCTTTGTGAGTTCCAAAACTTCTCTAGATCTCTTTGTGAGTTCTTGAGGAGAGAGCATCTTAGGCTCTTTGTGAGTTCTAGTGGATAAAGTGTTGAGGTTTGTGATCCTTAGTTTTCTTTTCTTCTCCACCGATCTCTTCCTCCTCCACCTCAAGAGAAGACAACCTAAACCCCTTGGCTTGAAGAACCCGACCCCACCCTGCTTGCCGCCGCCCCTTGGAGCCCAAGCCGCGGGCTGCCTTCCCACCACCGGCCGACCACCTTGCCACCGGCCTCCCGCCATCCGCCCACCACCCTTCTCTCCCCTAGCCATCATATTTGAAATTCAAATTTCAAATTTCAAATTCTTTCCAAATTAGAAGATCCAAATTAGGAAAGTTTTTATGTTGAATCCAATTTTAAATTAAATCAAATTGGATTTAATAAATTTTCTTTCCTAGTTCTCTCTCTATACCGCCGGCCTCCCCTTCCTTGGCTCCCTCACATTAATTCTCCATCAAGGCATTAATCGCAATCAATTTGAAATCAAATTTCAGATTGCTTCCCTCCCAAGTTAATCTAAATCTGAGAATAATTTCAGATTTAGCCCATACCACATCCACCCCAACCTAACCTAATTTCTCCCAAAGCCCTAGCCAACTTCCTCCCACTCCAAGCCGCCATCCTCTCTCCCTCTTCTTCCTTTTGGGTGCTCCTTCAACCCATGGCGAGGATGCATGGCAGATCCCGAAGTTGATCACGGAATCGTACTCAACTCCCAAGGAGACATCGACGTCGTCCGATCACCGTTCTTTGACGTCGGCTTTGGTTATGACGACACTGTTGAAGATTATTTAAATCAGATCATCCCCCATCTCGTGGACATTCTCGACGAGCAACTTCCGGACTACGAGTGGAGCATCAATGGCCATCCACCCGCTTCCCCAACTCCCGCTTCTTCCCCGGCGAGTAGTCCTCTCGGCATCACTTGTGTAATAGTGGTATCTCAAAGCATGCTTACGATCCTCTTCCGCTAGCCTCCACTTTCAAGAGTGATTAAAGGATCTCGAGGTGAAGGATCTATATTTTAAATGTGAGGCTTTATTATAGTTGGCTATTTGCATTATTTAAATCTTTGGTTATTCTTTTGCAAGTTCTTGTAATCTCCAAGTGTAATCAATTACTATGGCTTAATCTTTCATGACATCAACTTCTATTTGAGTAAGCTAGACTTTATTGATAGTATGCAAATTTCATAACTTTTATTAATCTCTGAAGTGCAATTCTTGTCACCGCATTTAGTTTCACATCAGACTCTCTAATAAAACGTCAAAAGCTGATTAACCATTCTAATTACTTTCAATCAATTAGTAAACAAAATTTTTCTGGCAATCTAGTCAATCAAAAACATACATCCTAAATGCAAAAGATCACTTGATGTTGCAAATATATAAGTAATACTCACCATGGATTTGATATACTCTGACCGAGCAAAACTACGATTACAGGCGTGTACAAGTTTCATATAAAAAAATAATAATAATAATGTGCAATAATGCAGAACTGCTGATAAGTTTCCTTCGATGACATTTTCAAATCTCGACTGAATCTATCCTTTATAAAAATAGAAAGAAATTCAGCCATGCTTAATTATTAATTTATTATTAAACAAGGGAACACTGTCTACCTGAATGGATGACTTTGCCATCTTATCAAGTGCCTTCTGCCGTTCTCGGTTGCGATGATAACGTTTTAGAACATACTTCTGCATGATTAATTTGAATTATAGTATAAGAATGCATGTATTCAATAATAGCAAAACAGGAGTTTGCATGCTCATTAAGGATAAAGAGTTTGATTACAGGAAATTTAAAAAAATAATAATAATCAGAAGGAAAACCACATTTTTCATACAGTTGAGTTAACAAAATAGAGAAGTCCATTTGATAGAAAGTTGTTTCTATATGATTGCTAGTTTGAATTTGTGCTCCTACAACAATTTAATATAACAAACAAATCATTTTTTAAATTCTTAAAGATGTTTTTAACTAAGCGTTTAAAAAATTGTATTTAAATTACCCAAAGCATTTGGTAGCTCTTTAAGGAACCTCATGCCAATAATTTACAAAAAGCAACCCCCTCACGGAACAGAAAAATTAAAGTTGCACTGCTTACCTTTTTTGTGCAACATCATGTTCATGAGACCATTGATTTCCTAAGCTAAAATTACTGAAGAATTTCATAAAAATGTGAACAAACATCATCAATGTATAGATGCTAGATTCTAAAAGGAAATGGAATGATGCACTGCAAGAAAAATAGCCATTTCCGATAGAATTTTCAGCAGACAATAGCTCGTCAGAATCACCAGCAGAAAACTTGCCGGGTTTAGTAGAATTTGCACCGAAATTTTTGGCTGAAGCCATAAATTCTGTCGAAAATGGCCATATTTCATCCATTTTCTCCCTTCCTCTAACATTCACAAGAAACAACATTAAGAACTCCATTTTCACGTGAAACACAGTCGTAGCCCGCCCCTTGGTCCCGAGCGTCACCATTTGTTGTGCTAGGATGGATTCGAGTCTCCATTCTCGGACCAATTCCTCCTTCGACTCATCCACTGACAGTCGCACGCATTCATCTGTTGTTGCTCTCAATCTAGCCTCCGTTCACTTGCTATAAGTTTCATAGTTATTTTAAATGTTTAATGACAATGAAAATTTATGCCCAAATTTGCAAATCAATCATATGAAAATTTGGGCATAAGTTTCATAATTATATCATTGAATTTCTCTTATGCTAATCAATCATATGAAAATAAATGATACTCTTTTACATATCAATCAATGAAGCTAACAAATTTTATCCATTTCAATCAGATGATAAAAGTGGATAATCATTATTTTATCATATATAATTAACTGCTATCAATTTTGTAGTTATATTTTGAAATCACATATAGGTTTTGGTAAAGACAAATTAGTAATATGAATTCTGAGTAATTTGAGAAAGTAGATGAGCTGTGAAATGTTTAATAGGTCCATCCACATTTAATTACTATAAGTATTTTGCCAAAGGATCATGTTAATCTCAGGTAGCTCAAAGCTAAATAAGATAAGCAATCACTCATAAAATAGAAGTTCATCTGATCTCTAGGTTGTTCAGAATTTGAGAATAAGCCTAAGATGCTAAGTAGTACTAAGCAAACAGGAAGATTTGATTTATTTAATATATATTAAAAATCTCTTGAACTATCAACCTATTTCACAATTCATAGATCAAAATCTGTTTGGCATAGTTAATTATTGAGCTCTATAATTGAACAGCAGAATTGATTATAACTTTAATAAGTTAAGAGCACATTAAATGTAAATGGCCAAAAAAAAGCTAATTGTTGAGATGCACTCAATTAGAATGTAAGGCAGCATGTGATGACAAATGGATTATTTTGCATGAAGCATACATTTATGCACAAATTTGTTAGATTAATTTCATATTCTTAGTTTGTTAGAGTTGAATATCTCTAAGTTAGGCAGATTAATGCAAGATTGTTCGTTTTCCATGTCTAACGCTTTAACGCTTTATGAAACTCTAGCAATTTTTTATCTATTTAGATAATAAGATTGTTTGTGTGTAGGATTTTATAGATAACATCTAATATAGATATTTAAAATCAAATAAATTGAATGTATAATCGACTGTTGTCTGGATGAAAGACATTAACAAATGAATTCATCAGATGAGTAAATTTTTTCATCCAGGTGGCATGCCAACCACCTTCTTTTATATCTGATGGCAGATTTCATTGTCATTGTTCAAAGCACAAAAACCAAACGTACCTTACACCAGATGAAGTTACCATTAATTTATATCGCAGAGGATTCACGCCAGAATATTAATTTTGGACTTCACGTGGCTAACACAAACCGCATTTCAACTCTCAATGCGGTATGTCAACAAGTTTCAAAATATTTGAGGAATAAAATATTATGACATATAAAAAATATGGTTTATGATGCAACTAGCCCACAATTTTGATAATATACAGAAGAGTTACAATAGGGAAGAGAAGCACAAAACTTCTATGATTTATAACGTGTTGTGCAACAACTAATTTAGGACGGGTGCACTACTCACTCAAAGGTATCAGTGACTGTAAAAATGTTGATTATAAAGGTCGAATTCAACATTCCTCGAGAATGTTTTAATCAATTTGTTTGGGCTCCTCAAGGAGACCAAACTTGCAGATAATATAATTCTAGTTGATTTATACATGACTAAAAAGTTAGTTTCCAAATTGGATTTGATTGCTACAAAAATAGATTGTTATGTTAACAGCTGCATATGTCGCCATTACAGTGCGCCACGACTTAAACCAAACTCTGGAAAAGTAGAAAATAGAAGGATGTTCCAGTTTGATGCTATCAAATATTTCTGTAATTTTATTTTTATTTGAACAATAGTATATTTTATGTTCTTTTCTTTTATTTAGCTATCTAATGATGGGAAAGCATCCAATGAACATGGTAGGTTGTGCATGGGGCATGGTAGACCTTTGGTTTGCTGGCTCGATTGGTCCTTTGGCTGCTGCTGGTTCACAGGTTGGCTGTTTGGGGCATATGATGAAGGTTGGGGTTGAGCACATTCTCTTAGTTGCTTGAGCTGAAGTTGAGTAGCTCATCAATGTTCTAAAGGTAGCTCATTAAGTAGGATTCAATTTTGGAGTGGACTTGTCCCTTCTCCTTCCCCTTTCTTCTTGTCTCTTGGAAAACCGTGGTTATGCTTACTATGCCTTGGCTCCTTGGATTCTCGGTTGGCTGAATTATGTGCCTTGTCCTTGGTTCTCATGGTGGCTGTTGGATTTCCCGAGCTGGGGGTTTAACCGTGGCATTTGGCGCCTTAGTTCCGTGCGGTTTCTTTGGTCCTGTGGCTGCCTCCTCGGTTCTTCGACTGGGTTGTTCTTTTTCATGAAAAGCATTGGGGAAAACCGTGACTTGGTGCTTGGGTTCTAGTGGAAATTAATGAATGTGACTATTGGTATTCTCCTATCTTGCCTATAAATATGAGTTTTTGTGAAGAGGGGGAGTTGATTATTTTGAGCAAATTTGCTATTGACCTGCGCATTATTGGAAAAGCTTGCGAGCTTGTTCCATTCTTCTTTCTCATCCCCTCTGGAAATCTTGCGAGCTCTTTCCACCCTTCGTCTTGGCTTCTAACCTCTTTCGTCTCTCCGCAAGTACCACTCCATCTGTATCCTTCTTCTTGAGCTTTGGTTTTGATTGTTGGTTGACTTGAAAGCATCTGTTGGAAGAATTGGAAGATATTGCAGTGGTGGACCATCGGTTTGCTAGCCCTATGCAATTATCTTATTTAACCTACAATTCGATGCATGTGAGGAATCCGCTCTGACGGTTGTCTGAAGATAGCATTGTTTTTATTTTTTTTCTTTCTTAAAAATCTCTTCGTCCTTTCTTGTTGGATTTTTTAGTGTTTTAGTTGATTACTGCTATTTTAATAGAGTCTGGTTTCAATTTTATCCATTGTTCTCTTTGTTTCAGTTTTCTTATACTTGTGCTTACATCAACTTGGTATCAGAGCAAGTTCGTCTTTTTTTGGTTTGTAAGAGTCTTTTTCTTTTGTGTTTGACAAATGGCTAATGAACAAGGAGATTGGCAACAAATGATGCAACAACAAATCAACACGGTAGCTGAAGCAATTGCTAATCTAAATGTCAACAAGCTAATGTTAATTCTAGTATTATATCTTCTGAAAGTGAGGAAGAAGAACCTAGAAATCAAAATAGGCGACAAAGAAATTGGGATTATGGAATTAAAATCGATGTCTATAATTTTGAAGAAAAATTACAACCTGAACAATTCATTGAATGGGTAGAGAAAATGGATCAATTTTTTGAATGGAAAGAAATTCCAGATAATCGAAAAGTCAAATTTGCAAGTTTAAAACTAACGGGGCATGCATTAACTTGGTGGAAAAACTTACAAAACAATAGATTAAGGAGAGACAAAGAAAAAATTCAAACTTGGGATAGGATGAAAGAAAAGATCAAAGAAAAATTTCTGCCTTCTGATCATTCAAGAACTACTTTTCAAAAGTTTAATAATTTGCGTCAAGGTAATCAAACTGTGGAAGAATACACTGAAAATTTTTATAAGTTACAAGCTGGAAATGATTTGGATGAGTCTGAAGAGAAAACTGTAACAATATATCTCAATGGGTTAAAATGGACGATTCAGGATCAACTAAACTTACATCATGTCGTCAAGTTAGATGATGCTTATCGCATGTCCTTGAAAATTGAAAAACAACATTTGCGGGGAAGCAACAAAATAACTGAAACATATAAGCGTAGACAAACTAGTGGAACTAAAACTCAAACTTCTGCGGGAACTTCGAGTGTAAAGGTTAAAGCTGTTGAAAGTCAAAATCAGGAAAGGGGTAGCAGGTACTAAACCTTCTGAACAATCTAAACTAATTGGGCCTTGTTACAAGTGTGGTCTATATGGTCACTTGTCAGCTACTTGCAAAAAGAATAATCCTCCACGAACTAATTTCATAGAAGATGACAAAGAAACAGAATAAGAGGAAGAGAATGAAACAGAATCTGAAAATGAAGCTGAATTAGAGAAATTTGATTTGGAGGGTGATGAAGGAGAACCGTTGCTAGTAATTCAACGAGTTTTAACTACTCAAATTGAACAGGAAGATAAATGACTTAGAAGAAACATCTTTAGAACAACCTGCACT